AAATGGCAATAAATTAATTTAACGCCAATGAAGACAACGGAAAATCGGACAACTACACAAGTACAAAAAAAAAACAAAAGTAGCAGAAGCTGCTTGAATTGGTCGCATTGGCAGAGGGACACAGTTTAAGTACACAGCGTTGGAAAAATGAAGCCAATTGGTATTATAGGGGCATTGATCAGCCATCGACCTTTGTTCGCTGAAGTTGACAATGACATTTTGCTCGGTCCCTGCACAGTAGTCTGAAGCACATTAAATGGAGACATCATTTTATAAGTTTTTTTTAAATTGTCTTTAAAATGCTAAGCTTAGGGCTGCCTCAGCAAACAATTACATTGGTTTTTACTTGAGACTTTATTCATGCAATTGTATTCAAGCCATTAAAGAAGAAAAGGAAAAATACATAAAACCCATGTTGGTTTTAGCGCCATATGCATGAAAATATTTCAACCATAAGCCGATGTCTTCCTCCGTCCACCCCGCCCTTTTCCGATTCCTTGCACGCGTACGTCGAAAACTAATCATTTCCAATCGGGTTTTGGGTAAAATTAGCATTTGCCAACGCCGCCTGGCAGCAGCTGGTCGCGTGTGGATGAAGAGGGGCGCAGGACCTCGCTTGCTATTTAAAGTTTACTGTGGAAATAAAATCGATTCCATAATGGATTATTCAATTTTTTAAATTATGCGATATATCGATATACATTTTCAAAATCGATTTAATAGAAAAAGTTCTACAGGTCAGTAAACTCGTGGAAAAGTGAAGTAAAAAGTTATAATTCTATGATGAAAATCTATATATAATTTAAGTTATTTCCGTTTCAGATTTTAATCAATTTAATTGTAAAATTTAAAAAAAAAAACCTATTCAGTAAAAATCGATTTATTTCCAGCTCTAGTTGGTAGGACTACGGACTTATTATTAGGACTACTAATTTATTTCCCTTAACCAAAAACGTTTCGAAAAGGGTATTTTGACCTCACACAACTCCCGCAATTAGCTAGACTATTATTAAAAAACATATTCTACATTTAATGCTGCTTTGTTGATCTCACTCTCTAAAAGTGCACTACTCAAACTTGCCTCCCTGCCACCCAATCCAAATCTGTCTGGCGACAGGAGCAATTAACCAGGGTCTGGACGGCTGGTTTTAAGGGCGCCCGAGGTCTAAAAATGCCTCGCCTTGCCCTTCAAACTGTTGGGAGAGTGTTGTTACAATACATATCCAGGTTTTATTATCTGCCAGAGGCACAAATGCATACACAAAGTATCTATGTATATATTGCGGTGCGTTGAAGGCGTGCAGTTGGTGAATGAAAGAGGGAGGGATTGGTTTTTTGGGACCGAGGGTATGCCAGTCTGGCTAGAGATAGGTTACGTGCCGTGTCCGTGGGCTATTAAATTAAATATACGTCCACTTTGATGGCCTATTTCGACTTTATGGATTTATGAAATGATCCCAGCGTAGTTACCCTCTTAATTGTTTTTAGCATGAAGTAAACCCGGAGGGGGAGTAGGATATATGATGATATTTTCAAATGGGCTTCCGAGTAATCTAACATTTGCAAATACATTTTCACGCTGCCTAATCATATGTTTTGGAAAACACGTGCAGTGCGAAATTTAATTTGTTTACACAGTCGTGAGGTTTTTGTTTGCTGCGCACATTTTGGCTCCAATCGCCGCCCCACAAACACAAAGTGCAATGAGATCTCATTGGCGACTTTTTAATTGATTTGGAAGTGCGCAGTTGTGTCTGTGAAGGGAAATCCGCAACGTGTTGACGCCTTTGACAGGCCGACCGATCTGCAACTCGATGCAAATTGCTTGTTGTTTTGATGCCAGTTTTAGCGAAAAACTAGGAAAACGCCCAAGTTCAAAAGGCTTGAAAACAAGAGCTTTTGATCTTAAGTTACAGGTTATTAATTGGTAGAAAAATAAAGATATGTTTAAACTTTTAATTTCCCTTCCAAACATATTAAAAAATCTCGATTTAAAAATGTTTTTCAAAAAAGTTGGAGAAGGTCACGTAACTTAAGCCATTTGCAACACATTTCTGCATTTACTTTTCACATTTTCCCCAGCCAAAGTTTCAGTATAGAATTTTCCTTGAACGCAAACACAGCCGACAATACCTAATTTGCTGACTCAAAAAATATATTCATACACACGTTTATATTTGTATCAAATTTTCGGAACGTGAAGCGTCTCGACAGTGTCACAGACTATTTAAATTACACGTTATCGAGTGTTTTCTTATATCTGGTTGAGCTTCTGAAATAGACTGGGTTTCGGGTTTTGGATTACCATTATGGGAAACGAGCCTAGACTCGTACTGAAACTAGTGTCTTATCCGAAGCTTGAGTATTTCAAATAAAGCGAACTTATGTCGTAAGAAGTACGAGTTTTAAACTCTCAAAATATTACATTTTCAGTTGCAGATGTTTTATTTAATTTGCGAGTTCTCTTATTCGAGGGTACACCCCATTTATTTAACAACTAATTTCGCACAGAAAACATATTCGGTTACCACGGAAATAGAGTTTCCCCTTTTACACCTGCCAATTTCCAAACATGTGGTGGTGGTCCCCCAATTTCTGCCTCACGAACCACACGTGCCCGATCTGGGGATATGGACATTTCACAAAGCGGCCGTAGGTCGATTCCTAGGACTTCGACGAACTGTCTTTTCGTGCATTTGCATTAAATGTAAATGCAATTATTTTCTCACATGCAAGGCCCACATCGACCAGAGTCAACGGGAATTAAGGCCGGGACGCATGTTTGTTGACAATTAATGCCTGGTTTTTCTTGCAGCTATTGCTGCAGCTGAAACTGGGCGGTGTCTCTGGTCTAAAAATGGCGTGTGCAGAGTGTGTGCATGAACCCAGTTTCGCAGTAATTTCCGCATAACTCGGACAGGCAGAGACACACGAACGAAACCGAATAATAAGCCCCAGCGAAACTATAAAACTCAGCTCTACGTCACTGGTCAGCGGTAGCCCCTTTTGCGACCAGAACTTAAATGAACGCATCCGCTGAGGCGTGAGCTGCTCAGCTCTGTGCAGCACAAAAAATATTCCAATCATGCATTTGGCCTGCGATGCACTGAACTCTTCCTCTCTTTTCATCATCATCCTCATCATCACAAGCAGTAGCGTAACCAGCGACCCAAGTTGATTATTATGTAGTCGTGGTTTGTCTGGGTGGCACTTTGATGCCTTCTTTCCACTCGCCTTGCTTCGATGGCAGAGGTTATTATCCCCTGATTAACCACAACTCGGATGGTTCTCTTCTATATATTAAAAAAATGTTTGTTATGTGAAAGTTCAACCAGTCTTATTTCTGGTTGTTTTCCTTTATAATTATAAGTTTTCACAAAAACTAAACTATTTATGCAAATACGACAGCGATCAACCCAATGTAAGCTATCATTGTTATAACTATGGATAATGTATAAGTATTTTATCGGGTGACGCGGTTCTACGAAACATGTCGTCACGTATTCAACTGCTTGATACTTTCAGCAGATTAGATACCAGGATAATCGTTTGAGTGTCAACTTCCGGCGTTCCCATGTGTTTGTTCAATATTTAGCTTTCTACGGGTAACAAAATAAGTTTACATTGAAATGACCAGGCATAATTCTTACTTGACCGCGACTAAATATTACCCATTTTGTTGTTCTGTCCGAATCCAACAATCTCGCGCAACACAACTTTATGTTGTGGATGGAAGCGATAAAGGACAAACGCCAAACACATTATTTCAGTGTCAACTGGAAAGTATTGATTTTTTGTTAACGTTTCTTTGAAAAAACTCTCGCCCCCGCACAATGTGAAATCACTTATTTTGGCCATCCACGCCGTGGACTGAGTACTGTATATTGGCCCAAAACAGCAACAGACTCGGAAACGCGCGCCGCCATTGCATTCTTGGCACCATCTCCACGAATAGAAGGAGAAACGTTGGCAGCTCGCGGGCCTCGCATCCGACTCATTCCCCCAAGACAAACGTACATACAGATGTATATAAGTATAGCATGACCCAAGTTGACTTGTAGTTCTGTGTGTTTTTTTGGCATGTTTCATTGGCAGGCGCGCTTAAAATATGCAGAATAAGTCGCGCAGCAGGTGGAAGGGCTGCAAATTTGGGGAAGAAGGAGGAGGGGAGGACGGAGGTACTGCTATACACTACACACCCATTTTTCAATTGCTCCCGTGCGGCATTTTATTGTTCGCCCGCCCGATATAATAAGAATAAGTACACTGCACTACCTACATATCTCGAACAAAGGGAGCCGGAGCAGGAAAAGCCCTTTTCTCGAACTACTACTGCAATGACCTGCCAAAGCTAGTTTAAGTCCAGTAAACACGGTTTGTACTTTTTCGAGTCCTAACTTTGAGCAACCAAAGTCTTAGAATTGAGTGAACATGCTTCGACCGAATAATGTTCATCAGGCTGTGCCCGACTTGATTTTTTGTTCAAATTTTATTCAGATTGCTTTCATATTCCACTGAAACACACTGATGTTATTTGTTCCCCGCCAAAACAATAAAAAAAATTCTATTAAAAAAATTCAAACAAGCTTGTCCATAAATGTGTATTTTTTACTGCTGACCATTTAAACTTATAAAAAAAAATACAATAAATTGCGTCAGAGCAGCGAACAGAACAAACAATACGTATTGATAATTTAAGCAGAGTCCGACAATAATTGATAAAGGTAAATAAACGGTGGCACAGCACGCTGACGTCACAATCGGGAGCAACATTTTATCAGCAGTAGACGGATGAGAAAATAAATAAATATATTATTCAACGTTGACTATTAGTAATAATTGTCTGGCTATGGAAAAGACACGTCTGATCTATATATTTTTAAGAATCGTTATTAATAAATAACTGAAGTGCGAATGACGCGCGAGGTTTTTGTACTTGTAAATTGCTTGGCACAAAATATATGTGGGGAAAGTGGACAATAAGGCTGGCATATATTTACATGGAATATTCCGATGATTCAGTTGCAGCTCTTTGTTTGCACTTCGTAGCTTCCTGGGCACTCAATTTACTCTCTTTATTTTCGCACTATTGAATCTGATAAGCCGACACCTTATCAATGGGACCGGAGGCCGTATTTTGACTCTCTGCTTTTGGGAAAACTTAATTTTTGCACATGGCAAGGCCAGCGTAATAAAAGTAAGAGAACACTCACACAATTACACTACCACTTCTTTATTTATAAACATTTTATTTTAAAATGTTTATACATTTTCGGCTTTCCACTTTTTATATTGAATTTATATACATTTTTTTCATATATATATATTTTTTAATTTTTGGCACGAGAGAAGACAAACAAAACGCGAAAAGAAAAATTCAACTTAGTATCTCGAAAGGCCGCGCACTCCGAACGATCCGTATCCGTCAGGCCGAGTTCTCTCTTTAATGTGCCGGACAGCGAGTATAACCGTTAACAGCCCACATTCGTTCGGTTTAGCGGGTAACATTTTGTCAGTGTTGTCACGAATTCAACGCTAAAAATAGCCAATCCTGAATTTTTTTCTATCACAAAAATTTTTCGTAGTAAAATGTTATATGTAAGCAATATTTAATCTATCTTATATGTTATATCTTATATACATTGATATTTATAAATTATATATTTGCTTTGACCTAACAATTTGTATGATTTAATTCCTTTAATTTAATTTGAGCTACTGTCTGCAGTGGGTCCCTTTCAGTCTTCATGGGTCCCATCATAATTGTTTATGTCCGAAAAAAGATTAAAAATTTTTAAATGTGTTATTTTTTATATTTTCGGTGTAAATCCCAATTTAAAAAAAATCAAATAAGTACAGTAAATATTGATTCATTTTTCATTCAGTTGTTCTCATAATCTACATTAAAAATACATCATTTAGTTGTAGATTAAGAAACAAAAACCATTCTTTTGTTTTGAGTTTTTTGGCTGCGGTTTACTCTTTTAATAATTATTATTTTATTCATAAATCAATTATTTTCTGGATGTACCCTGCAGAACCACATGTCATCAATAGGCAACAAATTATCAACGTTTCATCAACGTATCGGCTTCGACTTTTGCCGAGCTGACACTCCGACAATCGTGTCGCTCTCTTTTTGAACAAAAAAAAAAAAAAAGATAAAATTAATCGTTTTTTTTTTTTAAATTTCATCAGTTAATTTCTTTAGTAATTTTCTACGCATTTTCATTGATGATTCATTAACAACACGTGTATATTGATGAATTACTGGTGAATGGTACTACAGAGGGCTACTCGTTCACTTTAAAACGGTTAAAGCGGCAGCACTGCTTTCGGTTAAAGTGCGCAATGTTATTGCTAGCGGGTACGGAGAATAAAACAGGCGGCAACCGCATGCCGCTCTCTTATTTTCTTCGCTCTTCCACTATATATAAACGTCTTCATACAAGAGAGGAACTCGGCACAGCTGACTACCCTGCAGCTTACAACAAGTGGCTCTAAGAGAGGAAAACAGAGGAAGCGTATGGAAACTCTTTGCCTAGCTTAGTCAGATGTTATAAACAGAGGTCTACTTAAATCGCCACTTGCACAGTAACGCCCTTAGGAAAAATAATTAAGAGAAATACAATTGGTTTTAATTTTCAAAAAAATCATAACACAAAATTTATAAGAAATTGTATTTTTTAAACTCCAATTTTCCATAAATTTAACAGGAATCTTTGTCGGGATAGCAGGGTTCCTAAAAATATAATTCATACAAATGGGCCGACGTAGCACTTTCCCTGAGAAATAGGGACTTCGAGTGATCTGTTAAAGCGAATAATTGGATATCGATATAATGGTGTACAGCCCTCGTAACAACTTTGTTAAATAATAAAATCAAAGTCTACGGAATGTTCTATCCTAAATCCGTAATTGCCTAGTATTTAATTGCTTAGTATTTTCAAATTGTAAAATCATTTAATATATACCTACATACATACAATGTATGTAACTAATGGGTTTTCCCAATATGAATATAAAATGTTTTTAAATAAACGTTGCAATGGTACATTGACATGGGACGAAGTCATTATCATTTAGCCTGCTCCTGTTTTTGCATAATCACATAATATTGAAACACGTGAGAACTAAGTGAGCCCATTTGCATGCAGACGCCATAAACCGCAGTAGTTGTCCCGTCCCGTCTATCGTTCCCCACCCGTTACTTGTACCACTTTTCATTTGTGTTTTGTGTTGGCTCTGACTTCGATTAGTTTCCCTTGGCCATTGTTCAGAATCGAGAGAGGTAAGAGCAGAGGGACGGAACAGAGAAATGGCAGTGCAATGGCCATTGTTGCCACTCGTTCCCAGTCAGAGTCCGAGTCCCTTCTCGTTTCGTTCCTTTCCCTTCCGTGTCTCGTCGCTTCTCGTCCTGTTTGCCCATAACCTCAAAGCAGACAACATAAATCAAAGACAAATTTGCACTTCAAGTGCGCTTTCAATAAGTTAGCCTCTGTGTTCTTGCTTTGTTTATGCTGCCTTTCCTGTTGCCCGTAAATCATAATTTAAAGTTTGCCGGAGAATAGCAGAATTGGGGAGTCTAATACTTAAACAACACGTAACTTAGGCATTTTAAAGGTGAAGAAACACATTACGCTGATTAATCTACTGACATATTTCTAAATTCATAAAACATTTTATAGAACCGAAGAAAAACAAGAATGTCTATTTAAAAAAAAAAATATCCCTAAAGAAATTTATCAAGTTTCTCGTTTCATTATTGAAATGTCTTCGATAAGAGCATTTGGGTTTTCTTGCGTTAGTTAATGTGGTAACATTAACAGGGACCTGACTAAAGAATAATACTGTTTTCCCATTAAGTCCAGTGAAACAGTTGGGATTACAGCTGATCCATCTCTGCCACGTCTAAAACACAAGCAAAGATGGCTGAAACGGCCGATGTGAGAGTAAATGAGCAGTTTACCAACTATTAAGGCTATTTAACAACAGTAAAACCTCAGATTGCGTTAGATTTTATCCGCACTAAATTTAAATGAATTAGATAACGAGGAATTTGATTTTCTTCAAAGACTTTTCTATAACTAACTTGAAAAAAATACGACAGATTGTCTGGATCCCTTTTAAAATTAGAGTCTTACATTAACCGGAACTTTATCTAACCGAGTAATTTTTGACGGGGAGGGTAGAAACTAAAGGCAGAAGCAATTTCTAATAAATGGCGAAAGTTTAGTAGAACATTCTGATTTTCGTATATCTTAGCAAAAACAACATTTATTTACATCACTCACAGCTGCCGACCATAAATGGAAGCGTCTTATCAGCTCAGATATAAGAAGTTAAATATGCAGGCGCACCAAATCGAAACGCACGCTGACTTCAGGGGTAGTCAATGAGTCCCTCAAGTAACATACTGATAACTGTGGAATGTCGTGAGTCACACAAAAACAATATTTACGCTGGAAATGAATTGCATAATTGCAAGGCACTCATAAAGTAATCACAGAGACGCCTAAGATTTATATACTAAAGGGGATAATTTAATAACCAGAAACTTTTAATATTTTGCAAAATAAATTGGAGATTTTTCGAAAAATGAACTTGACTTGCGTTTTACATTTATAACAAACACGTGGTGGCGACCTCTACCAGTGGCATCACATCGAATATTTTTTAAGCTTGGCCACAGCCACAAGTGACGGCGCCACTGTATAAAACCGAAACTTGCTAAAACATGGTCACACTGGTGTTGTTTTTTTAAAAATAGGTACTCTTTGTACAGAACTACATAGATACGTTTTTATTTAAATACATTATATTATATATTTTTGTTCCAATAACAGGTCAAGTTCAGTAAACAGTGCGATTTTGAAATATCAAAGCAAAGTGTGATGCATAACGAGACTATTAGATCAAGTAAAATATTCGTAAATAAAAATATTTCAAGTTTCATTTAAGTACTTTCCATCTGTGAGACCTAAAAATATATGTTTTCTCCTTTGTTTGTAAATTTATTGCCCCTGGAAGCAGAGAAAATTCAGATGCCGCAGTACACCACACAACCACCCAAAAACGTATCCCAACTTAACCCAAAACCTTAACGCAGCTAATTGCTGAACAATTGAAACTAAAACCCGACAGCGTGGATGCAGGAGCGAATAAATAGGGACAAGATTTGGTAATGTATGCATACACGCTAACGCGGCACAAGCGAGTTCAGGTAGCAAGGTCAAAATTGTGTCAGTTGCAGTGCCAGGTAAAAATTATATAGTGGGATAGGTCAAAGTAAAGGATCTTTCCTACAATATAAGCTATAAATCATAAATACATATAATTTTCCAGAATTTCGCGGACTTAAAAACATTTTTAAGGAAAATACAGGATATGGCGATTGAATATTGGAGTTGCGGCAAGGGTAATGCTTTTATACTCTCGCAGGATATTATTATAATTTAAATCAGAAGACTCTATAAGGGATATACAGTGGTGCTCATAGACTTAAGCCACAAGACTTCATCCAAGAATTTTAACGAAAATTAAGAAAAGTTTTTATTTCACAGCTCCAATTTTTTGTGTCACATTAGTTCTATATATCAGTGTTCTAATAAAAAGTATAACCAAGTTATAAAAATATATATTCAACGAAAAATTTTAAAAATCTGAGACCAACCCCAAAATGTCCTGCTCACATACTTAAGCCACCTGGAAGAAAATAATTGAAAAAGTTAAAATTTGCCCAATATTCCTTATAATTTTAATAAATTTACTTTATTATTGAGTGGGATGATCTTTCTGATTAAGAATAGCGGAGCAACGCTTTGGCATTAAACCCACAAGACGTGCGCACTGTTGAGGGGTGATTTTCTTCAACTCTTCTTGCAAAGTATGCCACAAATCCTTTTTATTTGCTGGTTTTTTTGGCCAACGACTTGTTTAAGAATTCCCCACAAGTTCTCTATAGGGTTCAAGTCGGGGCTCTGCGGTGGCCATTGCAAAACATTGATTTTCTCTTGGCTTAACCACGACTTGACTATCTCGCTGGTGTGTTTTGGGTCGTTGTCCTGTTGAAATATCCAGGCAAGTGGCAAATTATCGGCATATTCTCCAGATAAATTGTTAATAAGGATGTCCCTGTACAGTTCGCCGTTCATAATGCCTTCTATCTTCACTAGGAGACCTACGCCCGATGTGGTGAAACAGCCCCAGACCATAATCGAAGCGCCACCATATTTAACGATCTTTTTCGTGTATTTGGGTTCCAATTGTTTGTTGGAAGGACGTTGTACATATGGTTTACCATCACTCCCAAAGACATTAAACTTGGATTCGTCGCTCCAAACAATCAAACATACACGAAAAAGATCGTTAAATATGGTGGCGCTTCGATTATGGTCTGGGGCTGTTTCACCACATCGGGCGTAGGTCTCCTAGTGAAGATAGAAGGCATTATGAACGGCGAACTGTACAGGGACATCCTTATTAACAATTTATCTGGAGAATATGCCGATAATTTGCCACTTGCCTGGATATTTCAACAGGACAACGACCCAAAACACACCAGCGAGATAGTCAAGTCGTGGTTTAGCCAAGAGAAAATCAATGTTTTGCAATGGCCACCGCAGAGCCCCGACTTGAACCCTATAGAGAACTTGTGGGGAATTCTTAAACAAGTCGTTGGCCAAAAAAACCAGCAAATAAAAAGGATTTGTGGCATACTTTGCAAGAAGAGTTGAAGAAAATCACCCCTCAACAGTGCGCACGTCTTGTGGGTTTAATGCCAAAGCGTTGCTCCGCTATTCTTAATCAGAAAGATCATCCCACTCAATAATAAAGTAAATTTATTAAAATTATAAGGAATATTGGGCAAATTTTAACTTTTTCAATTATTTTCTTCCAGGTGGCTTAAGTATGTGAGCAGGACATTTTGGGGTTGGTCTCAGATTTTTAAAATTTTTCGTTGAATATATATTTTTATAACTTGGTTATACTTTTATTAGAACACTGATATATAGAACTAATGTGACACAAAAAATTGGAGCTGTGAAATAAAAACTTTTCTTAATTTTCGTTAAAATTCTTGGATGAAGTCTTGTGGCTTAAGTCTATGAGCACCACTGTACATACATAAATATGCATATAATCATGATCAGCATCAACAGTCAAGTCAATTAACAGAAAAAATTAATAAATTCGCAATTTTTCAGCGTTGGATTCTATACTTTATATTACCAACTCTTGTGATTTCACCATTTTGGGAAGAATTTTATAAAACTCGGACGGGAAATTAATAGAAAAAAGGTATACAAATTTACATAACTTTGCATTAGGGCGATAGTAAATGTATGGGATTATGTTAAAGTTAAATAAAAATCCGCAAAACTTTATTTAAATGTTTAATCTCTCCTGTTAGACTCCTTTTTTTATTTGATCGAATTAGATTGATTTTCAATGATCTAGCTGCAATCAAATAGAGTATACATACATATATACAACTTTCTTGTGTGGTTAAATCTTTAATTTGAAGTCTCATTTTGGTGTGGTTACTTATTTATTTTGCTTCTCACAGAATATATTTAAACGCTTCTATTTACATTCTATTAAACAATTTATAGAACTTTTTTTGTTTTCATGTTACTATAGCACTGACGTCTAAACGCTGAGCATACTGCTGAGTTCGATCACTGATCTGTTTTGAAATTATCAACTCGCTTATAAGCTCAGCAGTAATTTTAGACTTCAGCGGACAGTGCGCGTGTATATAATTATTTGTTTGCAATGATGAATTTCTTTGGTCAAACACTCACCATAGTTTTAGACTTTCTTACTATCTTACGATACAAGAACTTGTACATAGCACTGCACAGTAACAACTTGATATTAAATAATAAATAACAATTTAATCGCTGCTGAACTCGTTTCTGATGACACAAACATCAGTGCACATAACCAAATATCATTAATTGATACAGAAACAAAAATTAACAATAACAATTCCTCAATAATTGACACCAATGAACAATACACTTAACAGAGCTGAGCGTGGTTTTTGTGACGGGAAGACGGGACGGTCGGCAAAGGATGGAAGGTATGTATTTACTCCCGCGAAACGTCATTGGTGACTAAGAGACAGTCGCGAAAAATTGTGAGAGTGTCTGAGAATTCACGATGTATTCGGTTGCCGGCGAACCACACCGAAGGCAGGTAGACGACAAGATCACCGATCCAGTGTCACGTGACTTCAACATACCACCAACACTTTTACTTACATTTATTCTAGCATTAAATTGTGTTTAATTGATTGAAAAATTAACCTAACTAAACTAATCCGGAGCCAACATAATATATTCTTATTAGAGGTTAAACCCTTGTTTAAATAAATCTATTCCTGTCTCCACTGTTTTACACCTTAAGATTATCATGTATGTATATGTATGTATATGTATGTCTATGTATGTACTAATGTATGGCTGTTGTTGTTGCTTTTTGTTTCGACAAAAACAATGATCAACAATGGCAACGGCTGCAAAGTAAATGTCAACCACAAAAGTTCAAAGATGAATTGAAAAACTAACTATGTATGTATGTAAAAAAAACTATACATAAGGCGAAGCACACTCCACAAATGAAGGTATGTACGTACATGCACCTTTATTGTAGTAAGTATAAAGCAAGCAAGTGTTTGAATACTTTTATCGGCCAGTGCCGATTGCTAATGGGAAAATGTCAACGAAAGCTCTAAAAGAAGAATAGAATAGAAAGTGCCGCTAAAATCATAACAAAGATAATACTATACATTTACAGCAAATAAAAGTTATCCGAGCTAATTTTTCAACGCTAAAGAGGATCGTGAGTATATGCCAGCAGATGAGCCCAGATGTCTTACCTAGTTTTGGGAGTATACATACGGCTCACTTACGTGAACATGTTCACGAGTTCTGTTTACACCCTTGCAGGGTATTATAATTTTAGTCAGAAATTTGCAACGCAGTAAAGGAGTAATTTTAATATATATAACATATTCTTGGTCAGTACCAACATCCGAGTCGATCAAGCCATTCCCATTCTGTCCGTCCCTCCGCCTGTCTGTCCGTTTCTAGGCAAACTAGTACCTCAGTACTGAAGCTATATGAATAAAACTTTGCAGATAGTCCTCTAAATACTCTCACTACTATACATATATGTAAGTCGGAACTGCTGTTTTTTAAATAAATTTCACCTTCTTTGAGATATGACCCTTTTTTATTTTAGATTTTCGGTTTAAATTTAATAAAAATCGGACAATTATATCATATACATAGATGCCATAGGTACGATCGGAAGTTGTAGCGAAAAATTAAAAGCCCTAAATGTAAAATTGTTACTGTTAAACTGTAAATATATGTGCAGGTAAATGTAATAAAAGTTGTTATTACCTTATTTTAGTTCAGCATATATGAATATTTATAATTTCTATTATATAGAATACTTAAAATTGTGAAATTGTATCAGAAACAAATTATTATATGCTGTGTTTTATACAAATATATATATTGTTTTTCTTTTAATTTGAACAAAATGAATCGATTCTTAATGATCCAATTGCAAGCTGGAAGGGCATAAAAACTTCAGCGAGCCGCAGTTAGCTTTCTTTCTTGTTATTTTTTCTTTTCATTATTATTATTATTAGTATATTACCATCTTTTTAAACTCACTTGTTCATGCTCTGTTTCTCTGCTAATCACTTGGTCTCTTGTAATATATGTACGATCCACTGAATACTAAATCTAAGATTTGCAAAATGAACGGAACTAAGCAGTGAACAAAAATGAACAATTAGGATGATGCCTCTCACTTAGTATGGTTACTATTTTTTTTCCACGCACTCATGAGGAACAAGCTAATTTCAGTCATAGACAATAATATTAATATTAATTATACCATATTGTTTATTAGCGCAGCTTAAAAAAATTAATAATTAAAGCTTATCTAATCTTAATTATAATTGTCATTTATAACATTCCCAGTGATATTTAACTGGATATTTGGCGGATGTGCCATATTCATATAGTCATTAAGATTGGCCCCGTTTATCAAAAAGAAAATTAGGAGAACCGTTCTATACCTGAAAAAGTTAATCTTTCACTGGCAATGACGATCGCTCGTTGCATTCATCCAACCTTTGTCTTTTATTGGGTGTGATTGGTCACGAACTCACCTGTATTTCGAGCAAAAGTTCCTGCTTCCTGCGTCGCAGCTCAATCAGCAGTTTCTGCTGCTCCGGCGTTAATTCTGCAAGACGGAGAGACGAGAAACAGTGAATGTTTGGGGTTGGGTCAACAGCCGTACATTGTTTTTTATGTTTTTTGTTTGTTAATTTGACAGCCACAACACATTCCAGCAACACGCATGTAAATACGCCCACAGTCACAGACACACACACACACACACACACATCAGCTGCATGAAGTGCATGCGCAGGAGCGAGACAGCAGCTGTTTCTGAATCAATACTCAATTTTCGTTAGTTAACGTTTCTTCTTCGCCGATTCGCTTCCATTTCGTAGCTGGGACACGCACAATGGGAGACTAATTGTGAAAATTGACTTATTAGCTCTAATTCGGCACTGCGGATTAAACTCTATTGAAGGCCAGGCCATTAAATGAGAACGCACACACACACACACACACATACACGAATCCCACACCTATACATGCTAAATGCTTGTTGCTTCGTATAACTTTTTGTTTGGGGACTTGCACTGGTCCACTTAAATATGTTTCTTTTGCACAGACCACCGATCACTGGACAAGGCAAAGGCATTGTATTTATTTATCCACATCTCGCTCGCCTCACTTATTCGATGTGTTTACCTGGCATCGAGAATTCACTCCGCCCCTTTGAAATAGCTCCATACGATCTGTTGTCGAAATTGTCCATTGCGCTTATCATTGTGGCGGCCACTCTAAACACACTCTCGCGGTCGGGGCCCGAGCACTAATGGTGCATTATTGGCAAAGAACACGGCTAATTTCTGCGGGTTTTCATTGAACAATTGAACAAAAATTACAAGTTTTTAAAAATCAACAAAAAATTCTATCGCCATTTTCTTTCAGCTCAACTAGCGATGTGTTGAATACTCGATAGTTAATGTACCAAAAAATACTAAACGCACAGTGTTGCATGAATACATCGATATTTGAACATTTGTGTCAGTGCTGCCATCCTGATGAAAATATGACGTGTCAGAAGGTAGGCTGTGATACACCAAAACGGTGGCTTATCGACAACTACAACCTTTTGAAACAACTAATTCTTTTATTGTAAAAAAAAGTAAAAGGTATATATAAAAACATAGCATTTACGAAAACATTCTAAAATCAATCGATTCACTCCCTTCACTTGGCCACCACTCCGATAACTGCGTCAGGTGGCAACGCCGCAATCATATGTGCGCATGTGAAAGATTTTTAATACTGTTTTAAACAGTAGAATTCTAGAAAATTCGACTTGCAATTCGGTGCAAATCGACGAAACCAGGACACCAGAAGACTCCTTGACAAAAACTGCCCGCCGGCACCAATCATTTCATTCAAACAACCGCCAAGGATTTAGCTGGATTAAACGATGGCCAAGTGGGGTGAAGGAGATCCGCGCTGGATTGTCGAGGAGCGTCCGGACGCCACCAACGTGAACAACTGGCACTGGACGGAAAAGAATGCAACGACCTGGTCAAAGGATCGGCTGCACCAGCTGTTCAAGGACTTGAAAATAGGCAAGTAGGGCTAGCGTACCTGTGATTCTAACCTAAAACCCGTATCCGAACCTCAAACCGCAGTGCACAGCGACATCGAGTGTGTGGTGGACACCGTGGACAAGTGCACCGGCGAGGCCACTGTCAACAATCGCAAGGGCAAGCTCATTTTCTTTTACGAGTGGGAATTGGTGCTAAAGTGGTCAGGCACGCTCTTGAAGAACAGCAAGTTGAGCCACAAGGGCAAGCTCACCATTCCCAATCTGTCCGAAGAGAACGACCTCTCGGACGTCGAGATCACTGTGACCATTGATGAGTCCAACGACGAGTCGGAGACCCTCAAGCAGTTTATGTACAACGTTGGCCGGGATCGCGTCCGCCAGCAGCTGGGAGCCTACATACGGGAATTAAAGGAGGAATATTCCAAAAACCTCATTCTACCAAAGAAGGGCGACGACGCAACGGGCGTACAGGGTGTAAATAATGCCAACGTAACGGAAGTCAACAACGCCAGAAATGCCGCCCAGAAGGCCTCGTCAAACACCTCGGTGGCTGCCCCAAAGGGGCAGAGCTCGGGTGTTGGCTGCAAGCTGGACGTGCGAACCCTTTCGATGACGGAAGAGTTCCACTGCAACGCCAATGACCTGTACAATGCTCTGACCAAGCCGGATATGGTAACTGCCTTTACGAGGGCCCCCGCAAAAGTAGATGCGGTGCGCGGTGGCGAGTAAGTCCCTTATTTCCTTTTCTTTCCTTGTAAAGGAATCTTGAAACTTCGGGGAGCCGAAGCTAGTATGCCCTTGCAGTTGCAATTTGACTTAACCGTTAAACATATCTTCGTATATATGTATAAATTTATATTTTGTTCTTGCTTCGGCAGAACATATACTAAGCAAAATATTTATATTTTCAGGTTGTTCCTATATCTGATATTATAAAATTAGGCTCACAATTTAAAATTCGTAAAAATAAGAACACCTTAAGTTTGGTTCTTAAAAAAAATAACAGAGTTATGACGACATTCCTATTATTTTCCGGTTTGTTTTCCCTTGGTTTCTATTGAAGCTTTTGGATATAGATAGACCTTTAAAACTAAAAAAAAAAACAAATTAAAATGCTTTCTTAAGACTTTCCGATTGTTTCCATGACATATATAACATAAAGAAGTCATATAAGGTTCACTTTGACTCGAAAGAATAGTTTGCTTAGAAGCAAACATGCTAATGAAGAATACATATGGGAATTAAAAATCCTTTTTTGTAATAAATTAACATTAAAAATTGTTCCAATTGACCAACTTTGTCAGAATCTAGCATATTCTAAAACAGCTATCGAAATAATCGATTGAAATATAGCAGTATTTTGACGAAAAAGTCCATGAAAACGATGTTTTCTTTTGATAATATCTTCTAAACTTGAGGCCTTTAACTCTTTATTTCTAACATCACTCAGATAATGCATACTCAAAAATAAATTCAATAAGAAATATGCGATACATGTTGACTTGCATTGTCGTTGCATTAAATTTGAAAAAATGAAAGTAATTTTTGAGAAAACTCATAACTAACCATAAGATGCTTAAGTGAATAAAAGTCCAAAATTAGTTGAGTTAAGATATTGGCACTGGATCCGCAAAACCGAAATGTGCCTTTATATAGTTTTTATACCCTTGCAGGGTATTATAATTTCATTCAGAAGTTTGCAACGCAGTGACGGAGACATTTTCGACCTTATAAAGTATATAAGGTCGAGTCGATCTAGCCATGTCCTTTTGTCCGTTTCTACGCAAACTAGTCCCTCAGTTTTAAAGCTATAAATGAAACTTTGCATTTAGTCTTCTGAATTCTCTCACTGCTATATATGTCGGTATGGGCCGGATCAGACGACTATATCATATAGCGGCCATACAAATGGTCGACACATTTTTAGATAAAAATTATAACTTGGCTGTTTTTCAACATATTTTGATCATTTTTGAGATATGGCCATTTTTTAATATTTCATAATTTTGATTTTAATTTAATAAAAATCGTACGACTATATCTGATAGCTTATAGAAGAAAAGTATATCTTGTTTTTCAACGTATGTTCATCTACTTTGAAATGAGCTTTATTAAAGTTGCAAATGTTTGATTTAAATTTTATGAAAATCGGACAAATATATCGTATAGCCACATAGAAAGGATCGGTAGATGTACAGAAAATGTAAGGCTGCGAGTGTAAAACTGTAACTGTCAAACTGTAAATATAATAGTATTGGTATAATGTAATGAAACTTTGTTTTGTTTATGTTTTCAAATCTAAAACATATAAAATATAATTTTATCAAAACCAAATTATTATGTATACGCTATGTATATTCTTTTCTATTAAATTGTCCAGAATGGATCTTAATAATCCAATTGGAAACTGCAAGGGTATACAAACTTCGGCGTGCCGAAGTAAGCTTCCTTTCTTGTTTTTAATTTGCAATAAATTTTATAAATTATGGGTCCGAAAAGACTCCTTTACAGCCTTGTAAACTTAAGACTTAAATTATAATACCCTGCTAGAGTATAACAACGATATTATCAGATCTTTACTTCAATAGTTTTCTCTTTATTTTGTATTAATTTAATATTCTTCCTGCTTTAGGTTTGTGTTGTATGGCGGAAATGTGCTCGGCAAGTTCGAGGAGCTAGTGCCTGAAAAGAAAATACAGCAGAGCTGGCGTCTGAAAAACTGGTCATCTGGTCATTATTCGAATGTTGTCATTGAGCTGGAGGAAACTGTAAGTTAAAAAAGAAAAACAATGTCAACGATTTCATTTAAAGTAAAATCTAAATTAAAGAAGCCCTTTTTACTTGAAATAATCCTAAAAATTAATATAAGAACTCAGAATATCTTCAATTTAAAAACAATCATTTTTACCAGCAAAATACTGGCTCTTTAAATTTACTTAATCAGTTAAAAACAACATGTACATATATAAAATATGGTGGAAAAAATATCACGTGCAACTGGGATTCAAATTAAATCTAAGATAGACTACTCTATATTTTTGATCAAAATTAAAAGCACAGGAAACTGACATAAACGTATGACAATTCAAAATTTATTCCATCAAAATAATTCGTAGCGTTCCGCTGAAATCAGTGTTTAAAGTTCTGAGAATTCCTTACTTTGTTTTTTTTTTTAAATCTAGAAATCGAGCAAATGTTCAAAGTCAACATTTACACCAATTATACATCTACACCAACTATATGTAAAAATTAAAAAAAAAAAAGTATGTTACATATGTACTTTTTTTTAGTTTGAATACGAATGTCAAATTCGACAGAACACAAATGCCCATACCAAAAAATAATTAATTAGCCCTTATTTACTTATAATTAAAATTAAAGTATAATGGGTAAACATTTTTTTTAAATGGAAATAAAACCTTCATTCATATTGGCTGGTGTTGTTAAGATATATCTATTTCTTTTTAATTGCCAGCCCTAAACGTTTAAATAGTTGGTTCAGACGAATTAAAATGCAAAGTGGACTCCATTATTCCAACTATTAATGCTTACACAAATGTGTACCATTTTTATTTTTGCAGTCGTCCAGCACAATGATGACGCTTAAGCAGACCGGCATCCCCGCCTCCGAGTACGATGCGATGAAAACCAACTGGTACCGGTACTACTGGCACAGCATCAAGCAGACCTTCGGATTCGGAACCTCGATCTCCGACGCCTTATAAAACGTTCGTTTTTTTGTGCAGGAAGTGGCATCTGATCGGATTGGAGATTTGGTGGCGGCGGGCGTATCATTAAACGAGTTCCATTTGTATTCTACCTATTCAACTCCGAGAACTTCATTTCCACCCTTAGCTATAATTTCTGTTACAAATTTAAAGGCTTTCTTAAAAACTCTTGGCTAAGCAACCATCGGCTTGCTTGCAACAGCTACATTGGAACCACATTAACTTAAATACAATTATAAACAAGCTCACGCTTACTACATTTATTTCACACATTAAAATTATGAGAATATGAAATGTGAAAAATAAGTTTTTTATTTTTTAATTGTGTACAAGAATATATTTGTGACTACCAACATATGCAAACTCTTAAATATATATATTTTGGAGCAATGACAGAAATTTCTTCTACAAATAACTATGTAGGAATATGACTGCTTCTTCAGCACTACAAATATTTAGAGCCTACATACATACATAAATCATAATATATGCAAGTTCCTAAACTTTGCATATATTATGAATATTTTACTACAACTAGCTTGATGTAGAGGACACCCGTTACCCAAAGGCTTGTGCGCTTAAAATAAAAATAAATAAGCAAAATGGGAAATTTAGAGAATAGAGTATGGTTGCGTTACCTGATCACTGATGAATTTTTGACGATAGCTCTTCTTATTCCTTATCCCAATATAGCTTTTATTAAATATTTATTTTATTTTATTTTACATTCTGTTTGCGTAAAGCGGACCGGGTCCGGGTGCAGCCATAGATACTAAGGCTTTAGGCTGTTTTTTTCGCTTGATTAGTTAGTTACATATTCTTTATAAATATGTATATTTATAATTCTAGGCGAAATTCAATCAATTTGGCATAATTTCATAATTTTGGCATAAGGTATTTTATATATCGACGCATTTTCGCGAAAGTATCGTATGTCGCTTTTTTTCGAAATTGAGATTTTAATGCAAAATTGTTGGGCACCTAATGTCTCACTACCCTGTGAAATATTATAACTGAAACCCCTATAGTTCCGATAAAAATTAAGTTTCAATTTTGTCTTTTCTATAGTGCTTCCTAAGAGATTAAAGCACAAAAAAGCTTCTCCTGTAAAATTGGATTTTACGACATACGATACTTTCGCGAAAATGCGTCGATATGTATATATTTTTTTTCATTTTTTATCATCCAATAAGTTAAGCGGAAATGAACGGAGGTCGTTTGGTGTTCAATGTATGAACAAAATAAAAAAAAATAAATTTGGAACATAATTTATTCTACAGGTACTCAGGGCTTTTTATACCCTTGCAGGGTATTATAATGTCAGTCAGAAGTTTGCACCGCAGTGAAGGAGACCTTTCCGACCCTATAAAGTATATATATTCTTGATCAGCATCAACAGCCGAGTCGATCTAGCCATGTCCGTCTGTCCGTCTGTCCTTCTGACCGTTTCTACGCAAACTAGTCCCTCAGTTTTAAAGCTATCTGAATGAAACTTTGCATATAGCCTTCTATATACTCTCACTGCTATATATGTCGGAACGGGCCGGATCGGACGACTATATCATTAGCTGCCATACAAATATTCGATAAATTTTTAGAAAAAAAAATAACTTGGCTGTTTTTATATTTTTGCATCATTTTTGAGATATAGCCATTCTATATTATTCCAGAATTTCGATAAAATTTTATGAAAATCGGACAACTATATCATATAGCTGCCATATAAACAATCGGTAAATGTGGAGAAAATGTAAAGCTGGGAATGTATAACTGTAACTGTCAAACTGTAAACATAATAATATAGGTAAAATGTAATGAATGTAACGCTTGGTTACGAGGTTCGGTGGCGCCGCCTAGGTGTCAGAGGCAAATTTGCGGATAAGGGCGTACGGTACAGTGCCATCTGTCGGCAAATCCGAGAAGGTCTTGGGATGGAAGTGAAATGGTTAAGAGAAATTAGCTGGGTCAATCTCTCGTCTTTCACCCGAAGGGGTGCATCTTCGGGAGGCGATCGAAGGTTCCCGCTGGCGTGAGGGCGCGACGGTCGGCCAAATTGATTCTGGCGGTGCTATTAAGCAGATCGGCCGCAGCTCTGCAGATCGAGCTTTAAATTTCATTTTTGTTGGTGAAGAGAATATTTTTTTATTTTTTTGTGAATTTATATTGGACCCCTATTGGAGTTGGAATCGACTCACGGTGAGAGTGAATAAGAGGTTTTAAAAAAAAAAGCTGTGTCCTAAGTTTTTATCGCTTAGGAATCTCGGAAGCGGTCAATTTCCTCGGCGCCAATATTGGTCAGCGCGAAGCGCCAAGGCGAGGGCGCAGCGGGGGAAGCGGACAGAGAGAAGACCGCCAATAGCGGTTCCATCCAAGCGCGGGAGAAGAGCGTCAGCAAAACGGAGGAGCGGACAGTTTCACCCCCCCTTCTTGCCACCGAAGCGCCGCTGATCTAAGCAAGGCGGAGGAGCACAGTTCACCGTTGATCTCCGCAAAGCGGAGGAGCCCATAACGTCACCCCCTCTTGCCACCAAAGCATCAGCCAAATTTGGCATAGGCGGAGTAGCCGCTGCTTTTGTGATTTTTTCTTTGAGCCGATGGTTGTTGTTGCAATGCAGTAAGCAGTGAGAGGGAAAGCAGAAGGGAAAATTAGATCCGCGATCAGGCGAACCCATATCGTCGGCGAGATGCTGTAAAAGCTGGCGAATTTGCAGAATTAATTTAATTTTATTTTATTTTTTTTTGCGTACTTATATTTTTTTTTGTGTAAGTTTTAGTGGAGAGCCAAGAGGGGAAAAGATAGGCCGGTGACATAGGGAGAGTGTTGAGATTAAATAATAATAATAAAAAAAAAAGAATATGCAGGGTGAGATTTTCGGCAGGGTTTAAATAATATTCGTTCCACACAGCCTCCCCATCACATCTATGCGGGAAAGCGCTTTCTTCGCTGGAGTTACAAAAAGGGTGAGTGAAATACAGGTGTGTTTTCAAATCAACCGAAACCTGACCGAGAGTTAAAGATCCCATTTTTTTAAAAGAAAATAATGAAAGCGTAACCTATACAAAAAAAGAAAATAAAATAACTAATACACAACTTAGCTCCTCTGTATGTCCCTCGGTCCCGTCTATTTTCTTCTCTGCACAGAGAAAATTTGGCTAACTCTCGATGCCATTTTGATGTTAGGGTCGCTGAAGTTTTTTTAATTAATTTAATTTTGTCGATTTTAAGCCCAGAAACTAATGCAGGCAAATAAGAGAAAATATTTTTTTTTGTACTTTTTTTTATTGCTCAAATAATACCATACCGCCTAAGTTTTAAGATTTTTAATTTAAAAGAAAATTTTGCAGCAGATGTCTTTTAAAATCTTAATATTCCAAATTAAATTTAAATGTTTACTTTTAAGGAAATAAATTTTATAATGTTTTAATTTTTCTTTGTTTTGCCTTCAGCTAGCTGATTCACCTTGGGGATGCCTTAGATAGGTTTTGAAAAGGGGCCATCGGATGAGAGCTGGAGAGCGATGGCCAAGGAAGGGAGGGTGAAGCCACTCCAATTCCACCAGGAGTGAGCCAAGATACCGATGAATGTAGTTACCAGTAATTTTTCCCAGTGTATGTGTTAGTGTTTGGTTCCATAAATTTTTCGTCGTAGCACGCATAATGTAAAAAAATTATTATTCGAACATGGGGCGAAGCCTAGGAGGGCAAGAATACCACCCATATAGCCGACGAGCCCCAGCCGGGTCAAAACGCGTGCGCCCCCCTAGACTGGAACAACTGCCCACGGTCGTTACATGAAATAATATCTGCAAGGGTATACAAACTTCGGTGTGCAGAAGTTAGCTTCCTTTCTTGTTAATTTTAAGCTTAATATTTTTTATTTTACAAATTAACTTAATTTTTTAGTCAAAAATCGCGGTTTTGACTCCAATTTCGAATAAAAATCGGGAAAAAATTATAAAAATGGAAACGCTACATACGCATTATTGTTTTTTAAGATGTTAGTTAGTTAGGATGTACACCACAAACCAACTGTTTTGGACGGGGCTCTGGAGATTCCCTGCTCCTCCTATACTTCTAAATACTTTTCAATACTACATATAACACAAAATTGTTTCAATGTTGTGTTATGGTCAGAGACCGTAAATAATGATTATCAATGTTTTCTTTAAACAAAAAAATCATTCACTTGGAAAAGTCGCACAAAGAAACGAATACCAATCGGCTACAATTTGGATGCTCTTTCGAGATAACCAATGATTGCTGAAATCTAGATTTTTTATATAATAAACCAATTTTAATTAATAATTTTTGAGTTTTACTTACTCGCTGAAAGAATAATAATTATTATTTTGAGCGAAAAAAGTTTGATCAAAAAATAATGATCATTTTTTGAGCGGTATTTTTTCGCTCAGAATTTCGCTCAATGTGTAATAACTTCTTTCTGCGAGGTTTCTTCGAAAAAATTTTTACATGCTTATATGAATCGAAAACAGACGAACCCAAAAATCACATTTTTAAATTAAAAAAAAATTTTTTAATACTTTTTTTTTTAATTTTACTCATTTTATAATATAAATTTATATTTTTAATTTTACTTATTATTATTTTGCATATAAGTGTACCTAGTTTAGTGCTCATCATTGTCTTGTTTACAACATATAAGCCCGAATGGGAAGATCTAAAAGGGCTAGTTGAAGTTCTAGAGCCAGCTTTCATTGCCACACAGAAATTGCAGAGCACACAACTATATATGGGTGACTTCAACAAGCTGTAGTTAGGGCTAAAACTTACTGTTGGGCTGTAAAGCAGAAAAATGGCAGTATTCTAAAGTCGTGCATCGAATCTCGAGAGGCATCTCTTATAGAAAACAACGTTGTCGTCTGCAGTTTATATTTGGACCCTGGAATAAGAAGGGTTTTGTTTAAGAATCCTATCAGTTTGATGCAGGCCAGAGCTCAACTGAAGCTTTTAATAGTTCAAATTCTGAAGATGATCGCAGGTAATTATATTTCAACATTATTTTTATTCCGTTAATTTTTTGATGACAATTCTGAACTTCTTTGTTCATAGGAGGCACCGCGGTATTTTGATAGTCCTGGGCCATCATCAAGTCAGCAAAGGCCAGTCCAAAGTCTGCAATCGATTGAGGAATCGAATACCTGTTAGCTGGTAACGGACTTCCTTAATTCCATTGAGGTTTCATCAGGGGACGAAGACTCAGAAGACAGCCATAGTGAACTGATAAAGGCTGTCAAGCTAGAGATTGACAACTACAATCCAAAGCAAGTTGACTTGAATATGGATATTATGGAGTATTGGGAGACTAAAAAATTTACCTTACCATATTTGTTTATGCTGGCAAAAGTTGTTCACGCCGTACCAGCAACTCAAGTCAGCGTGGAAAGGTCATTTTCGGCTCTTAAATTGATGCTGACCGATTTAAGAAGCAATCTTTCTGCAGATTCATTGCAGAAGCTTATTTTTGTAAAATTAAATAAATAAAATTCTTATTTACAAAATCATTATAGTATTTTTTTAATGCATTTTCTGGGTTCGTCGGTTCTCGATTCATAAGAAATTATATTACAAAATTAAAAAAAGTTTATTAAAAAACAATAAAATAAAAAAAAGGTATTAAAAAATTTTTTTTTAAATTTAAAAATGTGATTTTTTGGTTCGTCTGTTTTCGATTCATATAAGCATGTAAAAATTTTTTCGAAGAAACCTCGCAGAAAGAAGTTATTACACATTGAGCGAAATTCTGAGCGAAAAAATACCGCTCAAAAAATGATCATTATTTTTTGATCAAACTTTTTTCTCTCAAAATAATAATTATTATTCTTTGAGCGAGTAAGTAAATATAAAATTATAATTATTAATGGCAAGCGAAATATATTAAAATCAATAGATAATCATTAATCGTTGATTTTTATTTTTTCACTTATAATGATTACGTGCCCTGGTTATGGTATTTAATTTAATAAATAAATACATTTTAAATTAAGCCAGAGGTCAGAGACCCTTTTTACTTTGTTAGTACGCCGTATATTGGAGTATGGTTCATGCGTCTGGAGTCCTCAATTGGAAGTCCATATTAACCGTATTGAATCTGTACAAAAGATCTTTTTTTTTTAGTTTAAAAAGTTAAAATAATGGCCGAGGAAATCGACGACAACGACTTCTACCGTAAGAACTTCAGCGCTGGACGTGGCCATGGACGTCCAATAAGCCATGTGCCATGTGCTCAAATGGAAAGTTTAATTTTAATTTAAATTAAGGGGGTCTTCTCATTCAAAAGCCGTTTTTTGGACCCTTTTTAAAAAAATTCTTATTTGAAAACGCAAAGAATAATTGACAACTTTTTTTATTAATTGTATTCAAAATGTTCAAAGTAACTAAAAAAGTTGTTCTTGCCTTGTTCAAAGAGTAATGAGACTTCAAACTTGGTGGTCGAAAAAAAGGTGTTGTCCTGGCGGCCACGATTCAGGGTCTCCAGAGCGTCGGAAATGAAAAATAAAAACGTGGTTATAATTAGAATAGATGTCATTTTCGGGTGACGGAACAGATTTAAAAAAAAAATTTTTTAAACAAAATGGCGGCTATTCAAAAAAAAATTTTCGATTTCGGGCTTTTTTTTGTAGTTTAGTGTAAAAAAAAAAATATTTAAAAAAATTAAAAAAAAAAATCTGTTTCGTCACCCGAGAATGGTGACAATTCTGCGTCGATTCCACTTTGTTTCATGAAAATTGGTTGATTTGAACTGGAGATATCATGGCCGCCAGTTCGAAAAACGTGGTTTCGAGATAAACGCGTTTGAAGTTTGAAAAAGCTCATTTTGCATAGATCTTGCTTCACAAAAAAGGCTGTATCTTCTAAAGTATTTCGAATTTCTAAAAATCCTTTTGGGGACATATACACACCATCCCAAGCTATAAATAAATGCAAAAAAAAAAATCGAAAAAAAAGTTGCCCAATGAGAAGACCCCCTTACATAAAAAATCCACAATTTCCAATGAAATTGTGGATTCTAAGAATCGCTATTTTCAGCCAAATATCGGACGTGGCCGTGGACGAGGCGTAAAGCGTGTGCCTCAACTGGTAAGTGTAATTTATAATTTAAATTAAAAGGAAAAATCAACAATTGCAACAACTTTTTATTTATAAAGCGTCATGAAGGCGCGCGTTTATTTTTCATCATGTGATTTGTTTGTCCCATTCAAATGTTCATTCTGCTTAATTTAAAAGGAAAAAATTCAAAGAATAAGTTTCGAGTGAATAAAATAATGCAAAAAGAACAGTGTGGGCGTGTGTGTGATAGAAGAAACGTAATAGGATGTTATGTTATATGTTATATGTTACGGTACAGGCCAATTACTTCAAAATTATTAAACGTCCCAACTGGAAAGTATACCAGTATAAGGTAGACTTTATACCTAACCTAATATTGTCAAAACGCCAGCCTAATCAGCAGACTTGAACGTGATCGAAAATTTATGGGAAATTTTGGACCAGTCGATTCGAAAAAGGACAATTTCCAACAAAAATTACCCTATTGGAGGAATAGCGTAAAATTCCCTTCGAAACGACAAAAAAAATAGTAGAATCGATGGAAAATCGTTTGAAAGCCGTTAAAAAGCAAAAGGAAGGACCAAAAAAGTATTAGAATTAAGATTTAAACAAGTCATGTTGCTTTTAACCCTCTAGTGCCCAAATTTTTTTTTTCAAAAAAAAAAAATTATTTTTGGATTCAGTATGTATCAAAAGTGAATGTTTGTTTTGGAAAAAATTTTACTTTTGCTCGGATCGAGTTTTATATGACTAAAACCTTGGACCGCATGAAGGCAGTTCTGGGAAGATAGGCCAACAAAAAATTAGGTAAAAATTTTTTTTTGTTTAAATGTTTATTATAAATGTCATTGAGGCTGTCAGCAACACAGTACAATTTTTTGCTCTAATTTTTTTCCAATTTTTAAAAAAAGTATTTACATGTTGTATTTCCTACAAAATAATTATTTTGTCCGATTTGCACAAATTTTCAACTTCAAATGAATACAGCAGCTTGCGCTAGCTCTAGTATGTATTCCAAACGCAACGAACATAATTTTTGGACTTTCCTGAATTAGAAAAAACGGAAAACCGTGTGAAAAGGAATGAAAATAATAAAATAACTGTTTTTAACATTGCCCGTCTAGAGGCGGTCTTGGGCACTAGAGGGTTAAGAGTTTGCACGAAATAAGCTTGGGCGCCAGAATTGCTTTGTTTTTTAGTTTTTATATAAAAAATGTTTTGTTTAATGAATTACTATCTCGTTTTTGTGTTATTTTAATAAATTAAGCGTCGCTTGACACTAGTGCGTTTAAGTTTTACTGATATCTCGACTAGTTTAGCAACAGTGTCGATTTGAACTTTATTGTTATGCTTGCACGAAAGAAGCTTGGAGCCACTGAAACTTTTTGGACGGAGCTGTGGGCTCCACCAACTGGAGCACCGATTTCCCAATACAATTTTCCTTTCAGGAATAGTTTTATAATTATTTTCAGCTCCTCAACAGAAATTTCTTTGCCTTTTTGTTCCATGTTACAATTCTCCGAAAAATGACGCCAAATAGGAATAAACCAAAAATAAACTTATCGGTAATCGCTCCATCTTGCATTCCAAGAAATTTGAAATAGCTGCACGCAGACTTTTGCGTGTACACTTTTTAGTAGCGTTAACTTTAAAATTAACAAGAAAGGAAGCTAGCTTCGGTACGCCAAAGTTTGTATATCCCTGCAGATTGTAAATGGATTATTAAGAATCGAGCAATTCTGGTTAAAAAATTAAAAAAAAAAAGAAAAATAAAAGAAAATATTTAAAAGTTTTATATTTATACATAGCATAAATAAAATGCTGAAAACACACACAAAACTGAGTTTCATAACATTTTACCTATACTTATAATGTTTGCAGTTTGACAGTTACAGTTTTACATTCCTAGCTTTACATTTTCGCTATATTTACTGGTCGTTTCGTTTCGTTTAGTCGGCCGATTTTCGTAAAATGTATACCAAAATTCTAAAATAATAACGAAAGCTCATATCTCAAAGTAGATTAAAATACGGTGAAAAACAACGAAGTTATAATTTTATCTATTAATTTCCCGATCGTTCCTATGGTAGCTATAAGATATAGTCGTCCGATTTTCGTAAAATTAAAATCGATATTCTGAAATAATAAAAAATTGCCATATCTCAAAATTTATTGAAATATATTAAAAAAACAGCCAAGTTATAATTTTTTTTCTACAAATTTATGGAACATTTGTATGATATATTCCTCCGATCCGATCCGTTCCGACATATATAGCAGTGAGAGTATATAGAAGAGTATATGCAAAGTTTCATTCAGATAGCTTCAAAACTGAGGGATTAGTTTGCGTAGGAACGGACAGACGGACGGATAGACGGACATGGCTAGATCGACTCGGCTGTTGATGCTGATCAAGAATATATATACTTTATAGGGTCGGAAAGGTCTCCTTCACTGCGTTGCAAACTTCTGACTGAAATTATAATACCCTGCAAGGGTATAATAAACTTACCTCGGGCTATGCTCCATACAAAATAGGGCAGAAAAAATTGTAACTCCTATAACTCCAGTTAACGATGTTGTGCCAATGTGTACTGACTTACTAAGGGAAGTTTAAAGAATATTTGGTAAAAATTTCATAAGTTTCTATACGTCAGTTTTTGAGAAAATCGCATAACAGTGGGTGGTGTAGGTGGGCTGATAACAGAAGCGCTAATTTTGAAAATGGAACCAGCTGTGAACCAGTTGCCGAACCAGACAACGGAACAATGTTGAAGAAATATTGGATTAAAAAACATTAGCCATTAATGGAACTTAAAATTATATTAATCCACTGCCCACTAAAAGACATCGCCATTCTAAAAAATTTGGTTGGTGCTTCATCAAAATAGGTTCAGTCTTTTGGGACACATGAGCTATTAGTAATTATCTCGAAGGTATTACTATGCACCCCTGGTAACTAATATCATAGAAATACTTTAAACATTTTTTTCTAGTCCTCAACGAATTTGTGCCATCATACACGGTAAATCAATCGAAGGGAAAAATTTTGCTCTAGTTTCGAATTAAATCTTATTGAATTATATCCGACAGATTTTGAGAAAATCAAGTGTGTCTATTATCCGGCCCCAATTAACACTGGCTTCGTATCGATAGGAACGCATTCTACTTCCTATCGATGTGTCGTGCTCCATACGATATTTTCGACGCTAATTTTTAAAAATTTTTTGCAGTCCTCAGCGAATTTCTGCGAACATACATGGTACAACAATCGAAAGGGAAAATTTAGCTCCAGTTTAGAATTAAATCTTATTGATTTTCTGTCGGATAGACAGATTTTGAGAAAATCAAAAATTAAATTCTTCTTCCACACAAATTTTAATCAGATGGGCGCGCCGGCCTACGATCTTACTTGCTCATGCTGGCGACGGTCACACCAAGAAGGTATAATCTCGTACAAAAGTGGCGGGCATACTAAACCTCGACAGACCCTATATAAAGAGGGCCAGACCATGGATCGTCGCCCGTTGTTTGACAGGGGTCGGCCAGGCTGGGCTGTGTGTCTTGTCTTTCTAGTCAAATGGGAGCCTAGATTCAAAGTGCGCAAAAACTGCTAAAGCTGGTTGGTCTTGTGGCATTGGCGATGTGGCCTAATCCATTTTTTCAGTAACAAGCTTTAATAATTCCCTCTGCTCAGTGAATCTCTATACGCGTCGTGAGGCCGCAGCACACACGGAAGTGAAATTTTATTCTTATAGCGTAATAATACGTTAACGTCGTAATACTCTCGCCGCTCTCTTTCATCTGCGCCGTGCTTTCGCCAACGAAAACAATCGAATAGAATAGAATAATAGAAGTCCGGCATTGTTTTCGGAGCCGGCCTGTTCACACTGCTGGCCATCTCCGGCTTCTCGGTGATCAGTGTCTTTGCCTACTTGTCGCTCTTCCCTCTCATCAGAACTGTGGTCTTCGTAATCTACAAATCAAGGAGGACATTTTGATGGAGGTGAGGCGCTGCCATCTGCTCAGATGCTTCTACTGCCAACGCCTGGGTGCCAACATTGGATGCTGCCGCAAGAGGTGCCGCCGCACTTTCCACACCAAGTGCGGCTACGACAACCTGACGGTTAGCCAGTTTAGCGGCCGCTATAACTCCAACTATTGTCACAAGCACATACCCAAGTACCGCATCCGGCTGGGCACCGCGGGACATTGCGTGATCTGCTTTGAGTCGGTGGTGGCCAAGGGCCACCAAGGGTCAGTCGCCGTGCTGTCGGAACGGCTGGTACCATCGCCAGTGCCTTCAGAAGTACGCCAATTCGGTGGACTACTTCTTCAAGTGCCCGCTGTGCAACGAAAAGGAGAAGTTTGCCAAAGTGGCGCTCTTTGGGATCTCGTGACGTGACGCCTCCTGGGAGCTGGAGCTGGAGCCTAATGCCTTTGCGGATCTAATGCAGCGAGCGGAGTACTGCATCTTGCCCGATTGCCGCATACGGCCTTCAGCTACTAGCGCTGCTGACCTGCTCTACTGCATTCTGTGCGGCTCCAATCCGATGCACACGCACTGCACCTTCGAAACGGCATCAACGTACCGCTGTGACGATTGCATTGTTATAAAGCCCAGCGTTGCCTCGGGCTCTGATGAAAGCGATTCGGAGGTTGATGTCTTTGATCGACTGGCAGAGCTTTTACAGCGGCAACGGATTCGCTCACCAGCGTAATTGTTGCCGAGACCAGAAGCCGCCGTACGATGCCACCATCGCAGCCAAGATATGCTTCCAACATGGACGACTCATGTGTGGCCAACAGAACCCGGACCCGTTTGCCTTCCTATATAGCACTGAAGAGCTTTATATGTTTTATTCATAATCTTTCAATTCATATTATTTTCAAAATTAACGCCTTTCGAAGCCAAGTGTTTATTTGTTCCTTAAAATAATCTCAAAAACATTTAAAGTTACACATTCCCTCTATAGATATTCGTTCTATTTAAAAAATAATCTCAAAAAATCAGCGGTGGAACCAATTGAACGGATCGCAGTGCGAAACCAAACGTTTGCTTTATTTATTGTTTTTAATTACTATATTTTCCATTATGCAATAGAGGAAAAAAGAGAGAAAGAGAGATATGAATGAAGGCTTATAAACCTAACGCTAATAGCTTTGTATTATTTTCTATTTATGTACATTACTTTTGGCACTTTTGGTTCATTCTTCAAATGTTTGTAAAAAACCTATGCTTAGAATAAGGATTAATCTTAGTAAGCAATTTTCAAGAACAGTTCATGAAGTGTTTAATGATAATCTTATATATAAATATGAATCTTATGTTTTAATTTCTTAAAAAATTAGATCTAATATCCGATTATGGAGCCATTATCAAGTTTTGAAGATTTCGAAGTGGATTGCAGACATATGAAAAACAACAGGAAGAGCGGAAAGAATAAGATCCTTATTTAAAATATATATTTCAGTGAGCAATCATAAAACACAAATAAATGAAAATCAGATCATTTCAAATATAACGTTTTCTTTTTATTTCACATTAATCTTTTTGCATATCTCTGTTGAGCTGCTCCGTCTCCACCTCCAGCATAGTTTCCGAAATAACCTTCCTAAACTTAGATTCGTCCGACCAGATAACACGTTTTCAGTCTTCTATTGTCTAGTTCTTGTGTGAATTTTGGCCGAGTTTTCTCGGATTAAATTGGTTTGTTTTTTTTTCACTGCTGCGAAGTAACCAATCCTACCAAGCGATTATCTAGCTATTTCCGTAGAAGCTTCTTTTTGCGTTAAAAGTCTATTTTTTCAGAGTCTGTTACAGGATAAGTTACAAATTCAACAAACAACTATAAACATGGGGAAGAGAGTGATTTTCTGATTTCTGACGACGAATAATAAATGCAAAAGGCATTTAACAATAAAACTGCAGGACAATTGCTGATAAAAAAAGTAAGAAGAGCAAAAATATGAACGAATACCGGATGGTGCAAAACCAGGGATTGCAAATAAGAGTTATGAGAAAATAAAAATTGAATTATAACTCTTATTTTGAAATTTGAAAATAAAAAATAAAAATTACTTCTTTTTTAAAAATGGAAAATAAAACTTGAATTGCAATAACTTTTAAACTGAGCGACCTATTTTAAAGATTGACATATATAAATAATCAAATTTTTTATACCTTTTCTTATGGTACTATCATATGCCCATTGATTGGCTTTTTTCTAAATTGGACTCTATCTCTTATGTTTAATGAACGCAGAGTTTTTGAGTGCATATACGTTCTTTGTTTGGACTTTTTATCAATAAACTTCTTTGGAACTTTTTCCTCTTGAATATGGCATTTTTGTCTTACACATCCTGCCAAGGAAAAGTTCGCATGGAGCAAGACCTCAGCTCGCCGCAGGAGTGGAATTGAACTCGCGGTTTCTGTACTGGTAATCCTATATTTCAGAACGTTTTAGGAAATTTTTTGCAATCGCCACCCCTTTTCTGCTAATCCGTTGCTCTGAGAGTACCTAGGACTTAAAAATTGCTGTAACATATTGAATCCGTTTGCATAGGTTCTAAACAAGAATCAATTAAAAGGATTATTATCGCATTTGACTCTTGACGGGTAACCATAATTATCGAAAGTTTATTTTAATTCCCTTGTTTGTATCAGTGTTTGTTAGTGTGAGTAGGCTTCGATGCCTGGCAAAATAGCACATAAACTAATTGCCTTGTTTGTGTCGCACCCAGCACTTGAACTAGGTGGACTGCAGTTGGAGGAGTAAAGCTCTCTTTGAATCGCAGATGATTACTGGTTTATTGATTCAAACTTAAGGGGGGGGGTAAGGTATTTAATTTTTTTTTCTTAAATTTTTTTTTATTTTTTATTTTTAAAGTTTAACATCTTAAGAATATTGTGTCCAAGTTTTACATCGATCAGAGTGAAATTGACGAAGTTATGCGGAGTTGAACGAAGGTCGGTTGGTGTTCAATGCATGGGAATGAATTATATATATATTGCAGCGACTGAACATCCCTAATGATATCCTCAACTGACTTTCCATTAAGCCGAGAAATTATAATATTCATCAAATTTTGTCAAAAAACGTTTCCCCCATATTTGAATATATCATCCTGCATTATAGAACAGATATTCTGGCGTTTCATCATCTATCCACGGTTCTTTTTTTCCATCCAGCGAACGTAATGACAAATGTATGGCAAAACCGAATTAAAAAGTAACAACATTAATAATTAAATAAATATGGTTAATAAATATAAATAAATAATTAATTAATACTAACGAAATAATAATAAATAATAAGGAGTAATACTGTCTTCCCACTCAGCGCATTTGTGAGGAACGGTTGGGATTTTTCACAAATGCGAAACTCGTGTGCATCCGCATCCAATAACAGCTGATCGATCAGCTGTGGCTCATGAAAACGTAAACAAAGATGGGTGAAGCGGCCGATGTGGGAGCAAAATAAATAGTTTATCAACTATTTTAGCTGTTTAACAATAGAACAAGAAAGGAAGCTAACTTCGGCACGCCGAAGTTTGTATACCCTTGCAGATATTATTTCATTACATTTTACCTATTTTATTATGTTTACAGTTTGACAGTTACAGTTTTGCCGATCGTTTCTATAGCAGCTATATGATATAGTTGTCCGATTTTTATGAAATTTGTACCAAAATTCCAACGAAGCTATAATTTTATTTCTATTAATTTCCCGATCGTTTCTATGGCAGCTATATCATATAGTCGTCCGATTTTCATAAAATTTTTACCAAAATTCTGAAATAATATAAAATGACCATATCTAAAAAATTAAGCAAGAACATTTAAAAACAGCAAAGCTATAATTATTTATCTAAAAATTTATCGAACATTTGTATGGCGGCTATATGATATAGTCGTCCGATCCGGCCTGTTCCGACATATATAGCAGTGAGAGTATATAGAAGACTATATGCAAAGTTTCATTCAGATAGCTTTAAAACTGAGAGACTAGTTTGAGTAGAAACGGACAGACGGACATGGCTAGATCGACTCGGCTGTTGATGCGTTGCAAACTTCTGACTGAAATTATAATTCCCTGCAAGGGTATAAAAATTAAAGGAATAATGAGTGTTCAGAGACAGAGCCGGGCAGAGTGCAGAAAAATAATTAATGCTCTGACGGCAAAGAATAAGCGATGTGAGGATTCCTTGCCATCAGAGCTGGAGCTGGAAATGGATTCAGACCATCTTTTGGCGATAACAACAGCCGTGAGAGGTAATAATTGTTGCACTTTAAATATTTGATTTTAATCAATTTTTTTCATCCTGTTACTAAATGTTTTTATATGTTTTTAAAATAACGTTTTTTTTTTTTCCTTTTAAGGTGCCTTCAATCAAAAATTTGCGGTGGATGAAAAAAAAATTTCAATTTCTTCCAAGTAGTTTCAAACATCGAAAGATAGAGGTAAATATTATAATAATAAGAAAAAAAATTAAGTAAGTTTTCCATATTGTATATAATAATTAATTGGTAAAAATTAAGATTTTCATATTATGTATATATTTAAAATTGGTTAAAAATTAAGATTTAGTTGATAAGATTTCCATATCTTGTATATTATAATCCAGATATAAATAGAATTTAAGAATTAATTTTTAAGATTTGTACAATTTTCCCTATACTTTTCGAAAAAATAAAAAAAATATATATAAAATCTAAATTTAATTTTTTGCAATTATTTAAAAATAAAGGTTTCAATTAAGTGTCTTAAAGGAGCCTTTTTCGTGGCGATTTAGGTGCCTAAAAATTATGCTTTTATGAGCATTTTCTGTGCATTTTCAGTGCTTGATTTAGGTGCCAAAAAATTATACTTTTATGAGCATTTTTTGTGCGTTTTCAATGCTTGATTAGGAGGGTGAAAGCACTTATTTCTGAGTCCAAAAAGAGTCTTATTAGACTCAGAAATTGCCCTCTTAAAAGTACGACCGTTTTCAAGGAAAAAAATGCTCTTTCCGGACACTTTTTTGCGCACTTTATAATATAAAATGCTCATAAGAAACTATCAGAAAACTGTCAGAAAACGCTCATATTGCTTGCTGGGTATAAGCCTTTGGTGGCTCCCCCCAGCAAGCAATATGAGTGTTTTCTGACAGTTTTCTGATAGTTTTTTATGAGCATTTTCTGCTGAATTATTTAAGTCGTCCTCTAATTTGTGTTTGTCCTCAATCTTATTGAATGGTTTCGGTGGTAGCAAAATACGAGGCTTATTTCCATGAACAAGCTTTCGTTGTGCTACCCCTTCCGTTAAAATGCTTGTTTGTGTTTGAATGTTGTCAGCTTCCATTTTAATTAAGCGTTCATTAATATCTATAAAAATATATTTTGGTTTAGTTTGTAAATTGAAAATTATTTATTTTATACCTTCTACATTTTTATTTAATTTTTGAATTTGGTTGTAAATGAGCTGCAACATATCTAAAGAGGGCAATATTAATTAGTTTTCTTTGAAGATAGATGTTAAAACTTAATTATACTTACTTGATGTGGATGGATCCGTATAGCTAGAAGTTAGCTGAGTGTAGACAACTTCGTTGGTCAAAGTTGATTCAGCCGAGTGCGAGTCAGTGCTCAAAAATTGCTCCGTGAAATCATTCATTATGAATTAATGGAATAACAATTATACACGCTGGTGTCGAAAGATTGAAAAGAATAGCTTTTCGTGTAATGTCTGCTACCTTATGCACTATTGGTATGTCACTAATAACTAATGATTTTGATAATTTTATTCCTAAAAGGCTTGATTTTAGAGGTAACAAAAAAAGATCTTCATTAAGTAGAATTTCATTTGATTTCACTAATACCTCGTTGTTTGCTTCCACAAAATTATTAATTTTAAAAACTCTGGAATCTTTAATGTATATGTGGTCTGGAGCATTTATGGACATATATAAGCTTTTATTTTGAATTGCGAAAATATTTCCTTTCAAATATCTTTTTAAAACTTTTGATTTGGAATCCCTTCTTAATGTCGTATTAATGCTTTGCTCTACGAGGCGATTATATATCTGGGTAGCAACTTGTGTTCCCTTTCTAACCATTTTTTTTACCTTGCATAAATAACTTTCATATTTAAAAGCACTGGAAGAATGTAAATTTGATTGAAAAAAAAATGCATTCATCTGGCAAATGCGATAAACAATGAAAATTATATTTTAGGAAAGTTGCATCATAAAGCTCTGGCAATTTGCTTATAAAACTACAAATCAAGTCTTTAGCGCACACATTTTTAGTTAAACAATACTCATCACTAAGCAGAATTCTTATAGCAATGCTCAATTGCATAAAATGTTCGTATCGCCTTTCAGTTAAAACTCCTTTTAAAACTACTGGTCCAGTGTATAATAGAAATTGCCTAAACTCAACGGCTTTCCACCTATCCATATCAAAAATACTTCTCGGTTTTCTTGGAAATTCCTTACATACATACATATGTCTGTCTTTAAAGACATGAACATGTTATTTAAATAATCTATTTTTTCTTTAGATAAAGAGTAGTTCTGGCCTCTAATTTTTATCCAACCATTCAACATACTTTTCATTACCCCGAGGCAAGCTGTATGCATATAATCGAATGGGAATTGGCGCACTATGTCTAATGGAAGCAGAATGTTATGGTGTTCGACTTGTGTTCTATTTCTAAATTGGTCATCCGTTCTTGGTAAACTTTCTTGAAGTTTATATATTATTCTTCTTTCGAAGTTCTCACCTCGTTGATGACACTTGTGGCAACCAAAATAGGCGCTATGACTTTTAGTTCCAAGAACAAAAGCTCTAGCGGGCGAGTCGCAAATAAAGGCTCTAACCTTTACTTCGAAATGATTTGATTTATAGAAAAAACCAGAAGAAATGAGAGAAGAAAGTTCAGAAATAAATAAATTAAGATATTCGTTAAGATCTTTTGGCTTGCTCTCTCCACAAATGACGCCTGCTAGCAATACAGGAGAAGTTCTGTCAACATTAAAAGAAAAGTTTTCAAAAAAATCAGTCAAGCAATCAGCGATTCCATAATGCACATTGTAACGACCGTGGGCAGTTGTTCAAGTCTAGAGGGGCGCACGCGTTTTGACCCGGCTGGGGCTCGTCGGCTATATGGGTGGTATTCTTGCCCTCCTAGGCTTCGCCCCATGTTCGAATAATAATTTTTTTACATTATGCGTGCTACGACGAAAAATTTATGGAACCAAACACTAACACATACACTGGGAAAAATTACTGGTAACTACATTCATCGGTATCTTGGCTCACTCCTGGTGGAATTGGAGTGGCTTCACCCTCCCTTCCTTGGCCATCGCTCTCCAGCTCTCGTCCGATGGCCCCTTCTCAAAACCTATCTAAGGCATCCCCAAGGAGAAACAGCTAGCTGAAGGCAAAACAAAGAAAAATTAAAACATTATAAAATTTATTTCCTTAAAAGTAAACATTTAAATTGAATTTTGAATATTAAGATTTTAAAAGACATCTGCTGCAAAATTTTCTTTTAAATTAAAAATCTTAAAACTTAGGCGGTATAGTATTATTTGAGCAACAAAAAAAGTACCTAAAAAAAATATTTTCTCTTATTTGCCTGCATTAGTTTCTGGGCTTAAAATCGACAAAATTAAATTAATTAAAAAAACTTCAGCGACCCTAACATCAAAATGGCATCGAGAGTTCGCCAAATTTTCTCTCTGCAGAGAAGAAAATAGATGAGACCCAGGGACATACAGAGGAGCTAAGTGGTGTATTAGTTATTTTATTTTCTTTCTTGTATAGGTTACGCTTTCATTATTTTCTTTTAAAAAAAATGGGACCTTTAACTCTCGGTCAGGTTTTGGTTGATTTGAAAACACACCTGTATTTCACTCACCCTTTTTGTAACTCCAGCGAAGAAAGCGCTTTCCCGCGTAGATGTGATGGGGAGGCTGTGTGGAACGAATATTATTTAAACCCTGCCGAAAATCTCACCCTGCATATTCTTTTTTTTTTTTATTATTATTTAATCTCAACACTCTCCCTATGTCACCGGCCTATCTTTTCCCTCTTGGCTCTCCACTAAAACTTACACAAAAAAACATATAAGTACGCCAAAAAAAATAAAATAAAATTAAATTAATTCTGCAAATTCGCCAGCTTCTACAGCATCTCGCCGACGATATGGGTTCGGCTGATCGCTGATCTAATTTTCCCTTCTGCTTTCCCTCTCACTGCTTACTGCATCGCAACAACAACCATCGGCTCAAAAAAAAAAAGTCACAAAAGCAGCGGTTACTCCGCCTATGCCAAATTTGGCTGATGCTTTGGTGGCAAGAGGGGGTGACGTTATCGGCTCCTCCGCTTTGCGGAGATCAACGGTGAACTGTGCTCCTCCGCCTTGCTTAGATCAGCGGCGCTTCGGTGGCAAGAAGGGGGGGTGAAACTGTCCGCTCCTCCGCTTTGCTGACGCTCTTCTCCCGCGCTTGGATGGAACCGCTATTGGCGGTCTTCTCTCTGTCTGCTTCCCCCGCTGCGCCCTCGCCTTGGCGCTTCGCGCTGACCAATATTGGCGCCGAGGAAATTGACCGCTTCCGAGATTCCTAAGCGATAAAAACTTAGGACACAGCCTTTTTTTTAAAACCACTTATTCACTCTCACCGTGAGTCGATTCCAACTCCAATAGGGGTCCAATATGAATTCACAAAAATAAAAAATATTCTCTTCACCAACAAAAATGAAATTTAAAGCTCGATCTGCAGAGCTGCGGCCGATCTGATTAATGACACCGCCAGAATCAATTTGGCCGCCCGTCGCGCCCTCACGACAGCGGGAACCTCCGATCGCCTCCCGAAGATGCACCCCTTCGGGTGAAAGACGAGAGATTGACCCAGCTAATTTCTCTTAACCTTTTCACTTCCATCCCAAGACCTTCTCGGATTTGCCGACAGATGGCACTGTACCGTACGCCCTTATCCGCAAATTTGCCTCTGACACCTAGGCGGCGCCACCGAACCTCGTAACCAAGCGTTACAAAATGCCCCCCGCCAAAGATCAGACTTGGGGTAAAGCGAACAAGTCTGATCCCAACTAAGCTTGGGTCTGCTACTGCTTAAGGTCCTTCGCGTGGTAACGCCCAACTGAGCGTCCTTGGAGGTCCTCCACTTCATAACAGGCGCTGCCGACCTTCTTGCGGATCCTAGCCTTCACATAGGCTGGGCCTAACTTGGAACTATATCCGGCCTGAAAGTTACTTTGTTTGAAATTTCTCCGAAATACTTCCTGGCCAATAGTATATGAGACCTCCCTCGACCTCAAATTGTAGTTTCTTTCATTTTTTTCTCTCTGCTTTCCCATTACTTCCAGAGCCTTGATTCGCACCAACTCTAAAGAATCCGGCTTGGAAAGCCCAATGGATCTGTCTTCCAATAGTTGGAGAGCCCTTAGCAACTTGTAATTTGCACCAGATGCCACATACTGCTGGCCGAATACCATATAGTATGGCGATGTGCCTAGGCTTGCATGGACAGCCGTTCGCAGGGCACAAGCAATGCTGCTGAGTTCCTCATCCCAATTTTTTTGATCCGCCCTCACATATGAACGGATTGCGGCCACCACTGAGCGATTGACTCGCTCGGATGCATTTGCCTGTGGTGAATACACGGCAGTGAGCGTGTGCGAAATTTTATAATCGCTAAGGAATTTTAGGAAGTGGGCTGATTTGAATTGGGATCCATTGTCCGAGACTATGGTTTCCGGGAAGCCAAAGGTGTGGAAAAGTTCCTGTTGCAGGTACTTGATCACTAAGTCCGCAGTTAACTTTTTCACTGGTTTCAAAAACACGAACTTGGAGTAGTGATCAAGCACTATAAATATTCCCACATGCCCGCTTCTCGAACGCGGATAAGGTCCTAGAAAGTCCACATACAGTCTCTGGAAAAACCTTTGAGACTCTGGGGCTGCCCCCATTGGCGGTCTTTGCACGCAAGTTGGAGCTTTCGTTGCCTTGCACATATCGCATGCGAGGACGTGTTCTTTCACATCCTTGACTAGACTTGGCCAATAATAAAAACGCCTTACGCGCTCTAGCGTTTTGTGAATGCCCCCATGCGAAGCTAGAGGACTCTCATGCGCCTCCGCTAACACTTCGGGTATTAGCTCTCGCGGAATCCAAAGTTTCCACACATAATTATCATGGAGCACCTCGCCTGTAGCATGCTCGCATCTCTTGTACAGCCGGCCATCCACAACCTTAAGATCCGGCAGACTGTCTTTGTTGGATTCAACTTGGTGCGCCATAGCCGCATACTCAGCTGACTTAAAAGCTTCAGCTTCCAAATCGATCCCCGAACTAGTATCTACAGCCGCCAAATCTTCCTCATTGACCCTGGAGAGGGCATCTGGTACCACATTAAGTCGCCCACTACGATGCTCAATTTTAAACTTGAAACCTTGCAGCTTCAAGGCCCACCGCGCCAATCGGGAATTCAAGTCCGTTTGGGACATAAGCCACTTGAGCGATGCGTGATCCGTGATCACAGTGAACTCATGCCCTTCCACATAGGCTCTAAAGCGGTTTATGCAAACTATTGCCGCCAAGCACTCTTGCTCCGTCACCGAATAATTTCTCTGGGCCTTGTTGAGCTTTTTAGACACAAAAGCAATGGGAAACTCATCACCTTCTGGAGTCTTTTGTACCAAAACACCCCCAACTCCAGTTTTACTGGCATCACAATGGATGTAGAAAGGCTGGCCAAAATCGGGACTACGCAATACTGGTGCCGCGCACAGCATATTTTTCAAATTCTCGAACGCTTTTCTTCCCTCCGGAGTCATTACAAACTTGCATCTGGGCTTTAACAAATCTGTGAGTGGCGAGGCTACCGAAGCAAAATTGCTAATAAACTTCCTGTACCACCCAACCATCCCGAGAAATCTCCGAAGAGCTTTCAAAGAATTAGGAATTGGAAAATCGGTCATAGCCGAAATCTTTTCCGGATCTGTTCGTATGACCCCTTCTCCAACAATGTGACCTAGATATTTAACTGATCGCATGCCGAATTTACTCTTTTCCACGTTCAAAGTCAGACCCGCCATTTTGATGTATTAAGCTACTTTCCTCAAGACATTTAGATGCGAATCAAAACTATCCGAGACTATTAGAAGATCGTCTAAATATACGAATACTTCATTTCTCAGATCCGCCGGTATCACTTTGTCCATAAGTCGAGTCATAGTTTGCGATGCGTTGGTGAGCCCAAATGGCATGACCTTATATTGATATAACGGCTTGCCTGGAACGGTGAACGCCGTTTTGTCCCGAGATTCTGGATCCAAAGGTATCTGCCAGTATGCATCCTTAAGATCCAAACTCGAGATAAACATTGCCCTAGGCAACCTACTCAAAATTCCGTCTATCTGAGGCAACGGATACGCATCCTTCTTTGTAAAAGCATTGACTTTTCGACTGTCTAAGCAAAGCCTTACTTTGCCTGGTTTCTGGACAAGCACTACTGGAGAAGACCATGCACTCTCGGATTCCTCGATAACTCCTAGTTTCAACATTCGATCTACCTCCGCATATAAGAGTTTTTCCACTGCCGGAGATACAGGAAAGTGCCGCTGCTTTACGGGCTTAGCATCGCCTACATCTATTTCATGCGACAACAACGAAGTCTTCCCTAAACCGGAAATAGCAAATGACGGGAATTCCCCGACAACTTTGTGCAACTGCTCCTTCTGGCTTGCAGACAAATCATGCGATTCGTAATTTATTTCGGCAACTTGCATTTCTGGTGGTAGGAGATTAAATTTGGACCAGAAATCGATTCCTAAATACATGTCCTGGCTTAGAGAAGGTATTATGAAGAACTCTAACTCCTTAACATCTGACTCGTAGATAACAGGGGTTTTTAATCGCCCAATGACCTCTTGCCGGCCGCCATCCGCAGTATGCGCAATAGACATGCCCCGTTTGAATGGAATTCGCTTGCTTATAATTTCTTTAGCTAAATTTCCACCCACTACGCTCATGGCTGCCCCTGTATCTAGTAATCCAAGAACGTCTCGATCTAGAATTTTCACCTCCGCATAAGGCCGTTTGTCGGTCTTTTTGTATCGAATTGCGTTTATAGTTTTGGCTGCTTTCCAAAACGCTCTCATTCTTTCGGAGTTTCTTGAGGCACCTTTCGGATGGACTAAGGAATTTGAACTAATTATAGCCTTGCTAGAAACTACCTTACTCCTAATAGGACTACATTCGACAAATATATTATTATGTATTTTAGAACCTATATCTACTGGTTGTCGTCTCGATTCGACTGAGGGCGACGAACACGCATCAGCTGACGAGGCTGTGTGTTCGCCATGGAGTTTTTTTGTTGGCATTTCCCGCAAGATGGCTTATAAGTATTAGGAGCACCACAACCATAGCAGAATATTTTCCGCTTGCCTCCGCAGTCCTGGTAGCGGTGACCTTCTTTGCGACAGTTCCAACAAACTAGAGCCAACGCCTCTATTTCATTTCCCTCTAATTCGCCCTCGGAAAATTCTTCCGCATCTTCCACTAGGTGATCCTCAACTATTTCTGCAACTTGCTTGCGAGCCGGCCCGTTCTGTTGATACCCCAAACTTCGCTTCCTTTCCTCATGATACTCTTCTCGGCGTCTACACATTTCTCTAAGTTCCGCCACAGAATCTATCTTGAAATTTAGAAGCTGGTATCTAGTCTCGGGTCTGAGATTTCTCCGCAAGATATCCACTAATCTCTTTTCCGACAGAGGGGCTTCCAAGTGGTCCATCAGCTGAGCAATGGCCTCGTAGAAACAATCGAAACTTTCTTTGTCCCGCTGTTTCCGATCCTTTATGGCCTCCTCTATGTCACCCTCTGTCCGCGTGTCTTTGAACTGCTTCCTCAAAGCCTGACAAAGTAAATCCCACCGCATGTTTCGAGAAGCCTTGTGGAACCTCCAGTAGAACTCCCTCGCTTTACCATCAAATAAAATGCTGGCATTGCTACATAATATCGGGAAGTTGCCCTCTAAAGTCTGGTGTGTCTTGGTTTCGACCCTGTAAATAAAATGGTCCACCGGAATGCTTCCTGGGCTGCCATCAAATCGTAGTTTCCAGCCATTTATAATTTGGACTACTTTGTCTGGTCTATGCGACAGATCAGATGATTGGCTTCTGGGGGTATGTCTTTCCTCAGGCTGGAATTCTTGGGGAATATTAAAATCTGACGAATATTGGTCCTGCCCCAGTGGAACTGGAGTCGTGTTTCGCCCTAACGAGAGAGTTTGAAATTGAGCTGCCACATTCGACTGAATTAACTGAGCCATGTGTCCAGATAACTGTGCCATCATTTCATTCTGCATTGATTTCACAGCTTCCGTGATCATTGCTCCTACCGCTTCAGTGGAAATCGATGCTACCGCTTCACTTCCGCTTCCGTCTCCAGAATTCTTAGCTGAAGCGCCAGCCTTGCTTACCGAAGTTTGCTTCGGACCCTGCGATCCCGAACTAGCAGGTACAACCTCAAAACAAGCTGTGTTGCAAGATGGGCATTTCCCATGCTTCTTTGAGTAAGCTGAAAGACATGATTTGTGGTATTCCTGTTTGCATTTGGTTTTGAAAATGCCTTCTTGCCCTAACTCTTTGCCGCACAATGTGCAGTTAATCGGAGTAGCTACTGCTCCCTCCATTTCAGCAAACTACCTGTCGAATCGGTCTCTAATTTAAACAACTTCGCTAAATTCCAATCCTAGCAAACCCTTAGAAAACGACAATAAATAAATATTTATACAAATAATAAATAAAATAAATAGATAAAATGAATAAATGTATAATAAATAATGAATAATATATAATAATAAATC